AGACAGAGGGAGAGAGAGAGAGACAGAGAGAGAGAGACAGAGAGAGACAGACAGACAGACAGAGAAAGACAGAGAGACAGAGAGAGAGACAGACAGAGACAGAGAGAGACAGAGAGACAGAGAGAGAGACAGACAGAGACAGGTCTCAGCATCAGCTGTGTACTGACGTTCTCATGTTTGAAGAAGCTCAGCATCTTGAGCTCCCGAAACACCCTCTTGCAAGAAACAAGGTTTTGGAAGACATTGGGCATCTTTTTGAGGGCGACTCTCTTTCCGTCTCTGGGGTCCGTCACTGACCTGAGACGACAAACAGGGTCACTGATGACATCACCACCAAACAACTACACGTACAACCACTCCAAGCAAGCCAACGCAAAGACACAAACAGAAGCACATTTGTGTTATTATTTCTTTAAGCATGTTGTACTGAGTCAGTGTGTCCTCTACTGTAGACTACCTGTGTCATCACACTGTCCCAGTCAGGATGCTCGTAGATATTATTATAAAGAGACACAATCTGAATGACTTCAGTGAATAACAGTTTGAAGGTTTGGACTTAAAACGTTATAATTATTCTTCATTTTGGATCCTTATTGTTACTATAAATAACCTCCCAAAAAGCTAAGAGACAAATCTTGAATAATTTACGATTTCTTCGTCTGAACATTTAATTCTACTGGAAATGTCTGTAAATTAAAATAACCAATTCAGAAACCTGTTATTATATTATATATTTGTTCATAAATATATGAAGTTATGACGAGGACCTGAACATGGTTTGTTGTATTCTCTCCACGTTGTTTTTATGCTCATACTGCTTATGAAGTGTCGTACCAGGTCAAACTCACATCACCAATATACACATCTCCATGATATTTGGACAGTCAGGGTCCCCAGAGGACAATCCCCAATCAGTTTAGTCCCCACCCCTTTTCTTTGGCATCGCTAAGAGACTATTTCCAATTTACATTTAACAAGTTATCTTGGAAACTAAAAGGCTGAAATGCCATGAAACATGCTGTGGATATTCATGGTCCCCAGAGAATGACTCACAATGTCTTCGTTGAACCTTCTGACCTTTTGATGCTCATTACATAATCAAATGGACGAGGAGATATCTTATAGTTTAGTCAGAAACAGGACGAAGATGAAGACACACCATCATTATTCAGTGTGTTCTGTCATTTGAAACCTTTTTCTTTGAAGTGTTTAGAGATGAAAAGCTCGTGAGGAACTCAGCAGCTTTAAAGTAAGCGCTCCGCACTCTGCGGACTCTTCCTGCACAACCTCCAGTGAACCGGTTCAAATAGGATCAGTGAAGGCGAACAGATGGCAGCGACTCCCATCCAAGGTTTCACCACCACTGTGCTGCACACGGCCTCAGAGAGACGGCCTCTTAAACACAAGTGAGTTTGTTTACTGGAAAACTCTTTCGTTCCGTTTATTTCTTTACCTCCTTTTTAACATGCAGAGATTCAGAAAGTGCATTGACTTCATCACAGTAAGCGTCACCAGTTCTTTGCTGGCTGTTGTGCATTAACTTAAACGATTTTAGAATCCAGTGTACACATCAGCTGACAAAGCTTTCACGAGATTCTTTCTATATGAAACTACAGTTAAGAGACAGCTGTGGCTGCCAGATGCACGACAGCCAGATCTACACGTCTTTTAGTAAAATGTGTCCAAACATGCCGGACTGCTGGTGCGGTCTGTTGTTGTGGTGGTGCAGGAACTTACCAAACGACCCCAAACGCTCCATAACCGATGGGCCGGTCCAGCTCGATGTCCAGCTGCGGCTGCAGGTGGTGCGTGTTGTGCTGACGGTGATGGTGAGCTTTGACCGCGGCGGCTTGGACCCGGACCTGGGCTGCCGGTCCGGGGGCTTGTCCGGGTGCAGGAGACGGGAAGTAGGGCTGCTGCTGACCGGGATTGAGCATCACCGCCGCGGCTGTGTGGCTGTTGTTGTTGTGGTGGTGCATGTGTGGAGGCGGGAGGTGAGGGAGCTGGTGGTGGTGCTGATGCGGGTGATGGGCGGCCACCGCTGAGGAGCCACCGTTGTAAGCGGCCATCATTTTTGTAACATTTGTAGCCGTCACGCCGCAAAGAGCCATCCACTGATGATGAGGATGAACTTATAGGAAGCAGACCGGCGGGTTGAATGATCCAACACCTGCTACGTTGTGTCCAGTGTGCCTCCTGTTATCATAATGACAACAATCGGACCCACTTCGTCTAGATTAATGCTCCCTGCATGCTGACGGGAAACACATCATCATGCAGCAGGCAGAGATGAGTCTCAAAGATCTGCAGGATGACTAACCAAACTAATATTGAATAAGAAGAACAACCCGCACCCCCCCCTTCAATAAATACAAATAAACACTAGATGTCCCTCATGGTGGTCCCTCCCTCCCTCCAGATGAGGTTCAGCCTCCCGGTGTTGGTAGAAGAGTGTGATCTTAAAGCGGCTCACATGGGAAGCAGCGCATTCATCTTTCTAACTTTGCCACACTGGTCCAGGTGCAGGTGCAGGTCCAGGTGCAGGTCCAGGTGGCATCTAGTACACCAAACTGAATCCTCCTCCTGCTCCTGCTGGTGGTGCTGGAGGTGTAACAGAGTTAAAAATGTACTTTATTATTTCCGATTTAATTTTGTTTGTCATTTAACGATCCTGTGGAGTTGTGTGAATATGTGTGGATTTTATCTTTATGAGTTATTTTTAATTTAGCATTATTGGTATTTATTTATTCATGTTTCCTGCGGAAATGACGTCTCACCTCTTCTTCCTGAAGCTTCGGTAGTCCCGTTATCTCCTCACAATGGTGTTTAGTAATGTTGAGAGTGAGCAGAAGTGCAGAGGGAGACCAGAAGAAGTTAATACGTGCGTGTGTTGTTGTGTTGTCTTCTGCAGCAGCAAATCAATGGTGGAGAAAGCCTCCTCTGAGTCGTCTCCTTCGATGCCCCCTATATCCTAGTCGGTTCCACTAGTGTTAGTTTAATCTCCGAGCCGCGATTAACGCTGCTGCCACAACAAAAGTAGAGGCCTCGGTCCTCCGCTCCTCACTCATAATATTATTACAACCGAACGAGCCGTGCGCGCTTACAAACAAACCCCTCCATCAATCCGGCGAAGCTTCGGCCATGATTTATTGAAAAAAAAAAAAAAAGAGAACGAGATCTGTCAAACGGCTGGCAGGCTACTTACTTCCTCCATCGACATCCGGGTACTTAGCGCTGCCGCTCATAAGCACAACATCCACAGGCACGCGAAAGCTTCTTCTTCTTCTTCTTCTTTGAGGTGTAGTGGCGGTTGGCAAACGATATATTGGTGCATTACCGCCACCAACTGGTCTGGAGTGTGGATCAGGATGTCTAGTACTTACAGTTTAGTTAAAAAAATATATATATATATACATATATATATTATTTTTTCAATTAAAAAAATTAAATAAAAATAAAGTAATAATAAATAAAATTATAAAATTATAAAATAAATTAAAATAAATAACATTGTTTTTAAAAAGCCATGATGGAACACACTCTTTTACAGTAGGTGGCAGCATCCAACTTCACAGTTATCTTGTAGTCCACCAGCAGAGGAAGACAGATGAAGTATGAAGTATATTATTTAGTGTCACGTTCAACACCAGTAAAACACTTAATACTTCTGCCTCAAGTTGAGCAAGAACACAATCAAATCAAACACACAAATTAGAGAAATGAAAAACAAAATAATTTAAAATATATGTCAAATACAAACATTACAGCAGGGCTATCTCAAATTAACTTAAAGCTATCAAATAAAGAAAACTACTTTTGAGCGTTCTTGTCTTTAACAAGTTTATTTTGAAATTTGATTTAGTGGCCCAACGGTGGAATTACAACTTCCGGGTCGGTCGCGTGACTCCAAAAGACTAGACGTCTGTAACTGAGCGGATAATTATTTTTTTGAGGTGAATCAACTTCCCAACATGAACACAATCCATAATTTAAATCATTAGATCCTAAAAGTTATTTAAAAAAATATCTAAAATCCAGAGTTATTTTCATTCCTCCGTTCATGTCAATGAGAACGAGGCTGGACCAGAAGGCTGGGGGGGCGTGGTTAAAGGAAACATTACTGCGCATGCTCTATGGGCCCGTGGGAGGATCCGGGTATTTTTCATCTGAAGTTTTTCCACTCGGAAGCCGGAAGTTAAACTGTATGTGCTTCATTCGCCACTGAGGAGCTTTTCATAGGAATAAATCCAGTTCTGTGTAAAGCTCCACGGTCACGTCACAGTGTTCACTGAGTCTCAGAGAGAAAGAAAGGAACAAGAATGAGAGAAAGTACATAAGATAACGACCAATGGGAGACAAGGACGCTGAGACATTTGGGTATGCACGCTGGATTTAGCTGAGTGACATTTCAAGTGTCAATAGGTTAGTTCCTTCTTTATTTATGTTCTTATCAGACATGACTTTATACGGTCTGTATGGAGCAGCACAAATACATCAGGAGGCGTGAAATGTCACGTCCTGCTCTTGACTTGTTGACGTTATGTAACATATCCTTTATGACTCCATAACTGTGTGCAGACTTCCAGGAGTGACCTGCTCGCACTTGTAGTGTGTTTGTCCTAAATATTCTGCACTGTCTTTAGGTGACTAGACCATTAAATAGTTTGTAAAACACTTGTTGTTACAGTGTTGTTAAACTGCATTTAAAGAGTTTTGATGTATTTAAAGAGAAATAACAAGTCAAAGTCCCTGTAGAGGCTGTAAAGAGACACACTGTAGCTTTAAGAGGAGACTACATGTCCTTTAGATGGTGTTTCAGAAACGTTATAATGGATGCTATTTATTTAAACTTTTAAAAGCTTCTATGAATTTTTCATATTCTGTTTAAATTCTTCCCAAAAACACACATCATGTAGTCTCTATTTCCTCTGTCTTTGCAGGTGCATTGTTACATTTTTCTCAGCGTGTTACAGCCTCCAACCGTCATCTTCTTACCTTTGCACATGAATGTGTGCATGCATGGGAATAGTGCTCCACAGCGCTGCTAGTGGTCAAACACTCAACGGTGACCTTTAAGTTCTTTTTCTTCTGTTTGTCACAGAAGCGGACGTACAGAGGCAGCACAGCAGCAGCATGAGCTCACTGCACAGGTAGGTGACCACATGCTTCTGTGTCTGCTGTGTGTGTGAACGAGCAGCTGTTTGCTGATGCATTCAACAGATTTATAAGGTGATCATGTGACATTGTGAGGGACCAAAGATGAATGATTAATATCAAAATGTGAGGAGCTAGCGAGACGTTTATGTGTCCCAGGTGGTGTGGGGACATTTTATCTTTAAACAACTGTTAAAATAGATATTTGATTATAATACATCAATAAAACTACTAATGATTCAATCAAAGCAAATACACTAATGTATTCCCTATTCCTTTGAATGACAATAACACTTGGAGCTTCCTGTGTTCATCTCAGAGCAGTCGTAGTTGTGCGTGCGTGTATAAAAGCTCAGTGCTTTGGAGGTATGTCAGCGTACCTGTCTTAACCTGCACACAGCCCAATTAACAGCAATAAACTACCACGTGATGCAGATCTAGGATCAGTGTGAATAAGCCACACTGTGAGGACCGTTGGCTGTTGACTGTGGGAATGAAGTAACCTTTCCAGCTCGTCTCTGTGGATTTGCATCTTGTAGAGATTGTGAACCGACCTGCATGATGTGTCCTGTTTTGCAGACAGCTGAGTCAGCTGCTCGGAGCATGGAGGAGGAAGAGGAGGGTGGAGGTTTCTCTGTACACTGCCACTGGTTTCCACTACAGGACCTTCTGCTCCACCACCTCAGGACCAGGTGCTCAAAGCTTTCTCTCACACAACCACGACACCCAAAACCTACCGACGGGATTGAAAAGCACGTTGTATTTAAACAATCACCAAAACTACACCTTTCATCACAGCCAGAAGCTGTAAAAAACATCATCGTCAGATTTTCATCTTTCCGACGGTCCTTGAACATATCATGTATTAAGAAAGCTTCCATCAGAAAAAGCAGCTGTAATGAAGCTTAGAATTGTGATATTTCATCAAAAACATTTTATTCTCATTATCTGTTTCGTGTGTTATTGACATGAAAAGTGACAGTGACGTCTCTCGAGGCATCTTTCCCTTCATGCCTTTATAACTGCATCATCTATAAGCTTGCTCTGTAAATATATTATTTAAAAAACACACATATAAACTACAGAGAGCTCCGCTGCCACCGTGTGTTTCGCTGTCTCAGTCCAAAGCAAACAGAGAACTGTGGAGACAAAAGTGTATTTGATTAGAATCACAGGCTCCGCCTTTAAATCCGCTTTTAACTTAATGTCTTATTATTATTATTAAAGATTCTAAAGCAACCAGTGACTTGTAGTCCTGGGTGTGACTGGACTACAAGTTAAAGACATAGTGTCTATAGAGACAGTCAAACACTAAGCACACTGAATATATAAAATACACAATATATATATACAGCAAGATAGAATATGCAACAATAGAGATCAACCACAGAGCGAATCAAATCTATTATAGTTCACTCAGAGCAGCACTCCATCAACGTCTCAAGAAGTCCTCCTTTTGTGTCTCTTGCAGCAGATCCCCTTGAGATCCACAAGAAGAAGGTCATCCTGTGGTTCAGCCACCTTCCTCAGGAGGAGAAACAGTTTGGAGGTTACTTCAGCCCAGAGACCATGCATGTGGATCCACTGATCCTGGAGAGAGAGGCAGAGGAGAGGGCAGGACAGCTCAGTTGCTCTCTCCAGACCCAGACCCCCTCCAGCCCCTCTGTGACGGTGGAACAGCTGTTTGAGCCCAGCGATGCCTGGAGTGAGGGCCGGGGGCCCAACGTGCTGATGTATGGAGCTGTGGGAACTGGGAAAAGCACAGCGGTCCGGAAGCTGGTGCTGGACTGGTGCGCTGGCAGAACCCTGACCCAGTTCAAGTTGCTGGTTCCTTTCTCTTGTGAGGACCTCGGACAACTGTCAAAGTAAGATGATCCTCTAATTTTTCATCGTTGTCTTATGTCACATAACTGATATTTTGTTTGGAGCCGCATTATTTTAGTCATTTCCCTCAGAATGAGAGACAATCAAGACCTATCTACCTACCCACCAAACGACAGACCGACCTACCTACCTCCCTCCCTACCTACCTCCCTACCTCCCTACCTACCTACCTACCCATACCGACAGACCTACCTCCCTACCTACCTCCCTACCTACCTCCCTACCTACCTCCCTACCTATCTACCTACCCATACCGACAGACCTACCTCCCTACCTCCCTACCTACCTACCTACCTACCCATACCGACAGACCTACCTCCCTACCTACCTACCTCCCTACCTACCTACCTACCTACCCATACCGACAGACCTACCTACCTACCTCCCTACCTACCTACCTCCCTACCTACCTACCTACCTACCCATACCGACAGACCTACCTCCCTACCTACCAACAGACCGACTGACCAACCAGCCGACCTATGTACCGACTGTCAGACCTACCTACCTACGGACCAGACTGATCTACCGACCCGACCCTACCCTACCCTACCCGACCCCTACCGACGACTTACCTGCCATATCTACCGAACCTACTTGCCTACCTACGGATCGGTTTGACAGTCCTACTGACCGGACCGATCTACCAACCGACCTATACCATCTACCTTACAGACCGCTGCTGCATCACACTGCTGTTGGAACAGTGTGTTGGTAATAAAGTGCACAAAGTGATGAATCCCTTCCTTCATAGGGTGGTTTCCTTAAGGGACCTGGTGAGCAGGAAGTACCTCCACCTTAAAAAAAACCCCTTGTTGAGTGGGGAGGGAAACCAGGCCAAGGACGTGCTCTTCGTCTTCAACGGGATGGAGAAGATGAATCTGGATTTCAGAATTGGAGCCACGGAGCTTTGCAGTGATCCTGATGAGGCGCTGCCTCCAGGTGTGGTGGTGGTCAACCTGCTGAGGAAATACCTCCTGCCTGAGGTAAGGGACAGTCCACCATCACCAGCACCGCATTCGTCTGCCTCAGACTGCCATCTCTAACGTTTCTGAAAAGTTAACCTGGATGTCTGAAGGGTTCCCTTTCTTAAGCTGAGGATGTGAGTAATGCTGCTCTCCTGGAACCTCGTCGTTAACATCATGAACTTAGGCTGGAGTCCACATCTTCCTCAGCTCCAGACCTTTATCTTAAACAGACAAGATTATAAAGCTGACCAGGTATTTGACCTCAGCGTTCAGCACTCAACAGTTTGTGAAACTCTTTGTTGTGGACACGTTTTGTTTGGCAAGTACAGAGGATACTTTCATACTCCTCCCTGCACTTTCATTTTAGGCTTTTAAAGTGAAACATCTGCAGGAAGTGCTGAGTTTCACTGACACTGGCTTAACAAAATAGTTCAAACATTTTGTAGTTTTTGTTACAAAATGAAGTCAACATTGATGTTCTGAACCTAACCAAATACTTATGTTGCCTAAACATAACTAAGTTGTTTCCTATGAAGACAGAAGTTTATTTTGAAAAGACTGTGTTGAAGTAGAGAGCAAAAAGTTGACCACGTGTTGCTGAACGTTTGTAGGGAAACGCACAAAAAATGAGGAGTATGTTTTGGTTAGATGATATACGAACCGTTGTCTGAGGACATGTTGATAAAGGTTGGGTTGACAGGATGCCTTCAGGCTCTGCTCGGTGAACATGAGTACTGGCTGAAGGTACATTATAACGTGATCATGATGTGTTCACATGTCATCTGTAAAATGTAGTTTTGGTGATAAACTAGAATAAATCCAGTAGTTTGAAGGAGATGTTTTCACATGAATATAAAATAGATATTAGAGATGAATTATGAGCTGTTTAACTTCCTAACACGAGCTCTAAGAACATTATTATACTTCAGTAAAACAACAAGATGTTTTTCAATCATAGAAAATATTTACATAAAAATACAACATTTATTTGAATTGTGGGTTTTCTGCAAATAACCAATATAAATGACAATAACAAAGTAAAAACATAACATTTTGAATGTTTTACGGTTTATACCTACTTTGAGAAGGTTGAACTTATTACCAGTTTACCCTTTCAAAAGCATTCATATTGGAAAAATGAATAAACCTCGATATACCGTGACTGATATGCTGAGTATTACAATATCAAACATTGCAATTTATTACCTATTTTCAACTGCAAATTATGCAGTTTGTCAACATCTGTTTTCTCTGATTGGATAAAGTTTTCAGTCCACTTCTAATCGGCCTATAGCCAATGAACTGAAATATATGTTATCACCATCAACTTTTTACTTTGTTTAAGTCATTTTAGTGGTGCTTTGCATAAAAACACACAATTCAATTGATTAAGAAATACAATATTGTAATTTAATTGATAAAAGAAACCCGGACTATATAACCACAGTTAAGGCCAAATCGTTTAATCACGACATCTGCAATTACGAACTTGGTGTTCGTGTATCGATACAATATTGCGATACTATGCTGTATCGATTTTCTTCCCCTGATGAAGAACATATTTATTGAATCCTTGTTTATTTATGAAGTGTGTTACTTGGCTGCTGTATGTTTTCTCAGGCCAGCATCTTGGTGACCACCAGACTGTCTGCCCTGGACCGTATCCCCCAGAAGTATGTGAGTCGCTATGCACAGATCTGTGGCTTCAACGACCCGGACCGCCAGCGGGCCTACTTCAGCAGCCGCCTGTTGCAGCAGTGCGGAGAGACGGGCCAGAACCACGAGGCCCACACTCTCATAGAGCTGCTGTACCTCAACCTCCAGAGAGAAAGCCAGCTGGCTGCAGCCTGCTTCCTGCCCTCCTACTGCTGGCTCACATGCGCCACCTTACACTTCCTCCATTTCACCGACGCCAAGGCGCCCATCCGCACGCTGACCGGCATTTACACCAGTTTCCTCCGGCTGAACTTTGGCGGTGAGGTGCTCGGCACGGGAGAGGGATCCAATGTGACCATTCAGGAGCACCACAGCTCTCTGATGCTGTACGTGGTCCGTACGGTTGGGAAACTCGCGTTCGACGGCGTGACGAACAAACGCATGTCGTTCTCGGAAAAGGAGCTGGAGCAGTGGATCGGAGGCGAGACCAAGACGGACGAGGAGCTACGTCAGCTGGCCATGTTCCGGACCGACGTGCTCGACTTCTTCTTGGCTCCCAGTGTGGAAAGCGGCAAGCATTTAGCAGAAGATCCCAGTGAGAATGATACGAAGCGGTACGTGTTTGCTGTCCCGGCTATGCAGGAGTACCTGGCGGCTCTCTACGTGGTTCTAGGAGAGAACAAATCAGCTCTGGAGAAGCTGACCACTCAGGTGTCTGCGGCCATTGGTCAGGCGAGTGAGGATGTCAACGCCCTCGTCAGCATCCTCTCGAAGTTCATCCCCCTCCGAATATTTGCCATATTCAACCTCCTTAAGCTTTTTCCAAAGCTCTACGAGAAAATCAGCAGTCGCAACAAAAGCAGCATTGCCAGAACCATGGCGGCTGAGATGTTCCGCACTGAGGACAGCTACAACGAGGACGTCCTGGACCAGGTGGAGCAAAACCTCCTGGGAGTCCACGGCCCGCAACCGGAGCAGTGCAGTGAGAGCCAGCCTTTCGAGCTCTTCCCCATCTTCATGGGTGGACTGTTGCATTATGGCAACCGTGTCCTTCTCCAGCAACTTGGGTGCAGCATTCAGAGCACCACCGTGGCCCAGATCACACAAGCCCTCAGGAAGTACCTCGTCAGAGGTAACGTATAAGTTCTTTTCAGTCCTGCTTTACAGTGTGCTTTGTTTTTCATGTTTGAAGAGCTTGAACTGATCTTGGTTTCAAATATTACACACCCACTGACTTTCATTTGATATTAATGATGGTCTTGTTAAAGTTACAGTCAGGAACTTTTACCTGGTCCTGAACCAGTCTCAGTTTAGTCCTGATCCTCTATGAACCAGTCTCAGTTTAGTCCTGATCCTCTATGAACCAGTCTCAGTTTAGTCCTGGTCCTCTATCAGACCTCCATCAGTACAGAGACCATCAGAGAGAAGATGGTCTGTTTCTATAGAGTTATTCTTAATGCTCGTCATCGGAGCCACCGGGTCGGATTCTGGTGAAACCAGATGAACTCATGCAGGTTCACCAGAAACTCCTTCAGCTCAGACTCCAGCAGAGACCGGTCCACCGCAGACAGACCCAGATCCTCCAGCAGAGACCGGTCCACCGTGGACAGATCCAGATTTTCCAGCAGAGACCGGTCCACCGTGGACAGATCCAGATTTTCCAGCAGAGACTGGTCCACCGTGGACAGACCCAGATTTTCCAGCAGAGACCGGTCCACCGTGGACACACCCAGATCCTCCAGCAGAGACCGGTCCACCGTGGACAGACCCAGATTTTCCAGCAGAGACCGGTCCACCGTGGACAGACCCTTAAAGTTCCTTATTTTGTTTTTGTTTTAGACAGAAATCTTTATGAATCTCTCTTTTCTGTTATTTAATTCTAGAGCTCAGCAAGCCACAGCCGCCAGAGGAGCTGATGGATCTACTGGTCCTTCTGTATGAGTTTCAGAACCCCAGAGTGACTGCAGAGGTTCTGGCCTCGATCAGAACCATCAACCTCACCAACATCCGTATGACACCACTCAAGTGCTTTGTACTGAGTTCTGTGCTCTCGTGCACACCTGCAAGGTATATGGATTAGGGATTTACTGATAAATGTTCAGTATGTTGGGTTTAGTGTTTTATCATTTTGTGGCGCTGAATTATATGTTTATTTCTAAATTGCTTTTTATTGACAAAGTGCATCCAAAAGAGGAAAAAGAAAATCCTTCTGAACTGGAGCTGAAGATTCAACTATTGGCCTGAGTCTGAGTATAACCGGCTGAGTCTGAGCGTTACCGGCTGAGCGTTACTCACTGAGTCTGAGCGTTACTCACTGAGTCTGAACATTACTCAGAGTCTGAACGTTACTCACTGAGTCTGAACGTTACTCACTGAGTCTGAACGTTACTCACTGAGTGAACGTTACTCACTGAGTCTGAACGTTACTCACTGAGTCTGAACGTTACTCACTGAGTGAACGTTACTCAGTCGGAGCGTTACTCACTGAGTCTGAGCGTTACTCACTGAGTCTGAACGTTACTCACTGAGTCTGAACGTTACTCACTGAAAGGTGCGTGTTGGTATCTTCCTGTAGTTATCACCTTGAAGAGATGGACCTGTCCTCCTGCCTCCTGACTCACAACATGCTTCAGATGCTGTGGCCGGCCTTCAGACACACACACAACCTCAAGTGAGACAATCAATAACCCTTCTGTTCTGCTTTGCAGTGAGTAACAAAGGAAAATATGTGTTTTAGTGGATGATGCTGAACATTGTCCATGTTATACTAGTAAGAAGTTCCCGGTGTTGGTTGAACCGCACCAAAGTAAATACATAAAAAGATCAGAATCCAGATGGTTTGGTAATTCAGATCTGAATTGGTGAAGAGCTCCTATCAGGCTCTGAGTCAACCCATCTGGTTGCTGACTGTTAGCTCCTGATGTTCACTTTGAATTATACAAATAATCACAATGGTAGCAGTGGGCAACATGACTAAGGGCTGGTCCCAGCTCAGCCTGAGGCAGCCCTTATGAGGTTCATCACGCTTACAGTCCTGCAATAAATCCTACCTTCATGAAGGTTTTAATTCTTAGGTGTTGTTGTTTTAGAGACGTATTGATTCATCTTTACTATCATAATGGAGGATGTACTTCGTGGTGCTGTGGTGTTAAACTCATAACTGCTGTTTTTAAATGCATTTAGTTGACTTTGGATGACTCCCTTGCTCGTCTAGCATGTGAATGCTGTGTTTGTGTTGTGATTGTTGTGTCTGCCTGTCTCTGTTGTCCTCAGTCTGCAGTTTAACAGCCTGGGTCCTGAGTCCTGCGTCCTCCTGAGAGATCTGCTGCTCGACCCCATGAGCTCTATTAGATCTCTACAGTAAGACCACACCTTTATTCATGTCTTTACTTTGATCTCTCAGTGGCTCCAGGGGGAATTCATTCCATCAGCGCGGTGTCGTTTCGTGTATGGAGTGACATTATTTTAACAAATGCATGTGTATCAGACAGCTGTGTCTGTCTGAAACAACCTGCTTCAGCCTCCAGACTGTGGAAACGAAGCTCAGAGGAGATTCCCTCTCACCTCCATCGTAGCTAACTTCAGGGTTTAAACTGTCTGGTTTAACCGCTGCTGGTAAACTAGACTCAGTGCACCTGCCTGACACACAAAAAACAAAATCTCAGCATTCACAGAAGACACTGTACAACTTTGGTGGTGCGAAACATGACGAGCAAAATCAGCCTCCTGCTCCTTTCAGCCAGCAGAAAGCTTTTATTGTGAAGCAGCTGGAGGGAATGCTGATTAGTAAAGCTTTGTTTAAGGATAGTTTATCTTAGGATCACACAATGAAATGCAACTCTCGTCCCTTTTGCTTCACAAGCAAAGCAAAAGACAGAGACATCAATTGTGTTCGTTCAATAAAAAGAGAACATATGGACATATGCAGCACTAGGGAGGAGCTTTAAACATTACAAAGAAAAGAATGTCCAGTTAGATGAGCAGCAGCACACCTCCAACACGGAAGCAGTGTTGACATTTACCTTCACCAAGACATCCAAACCTAGTAAATGGTCCAAAACACAACGGGCCTCATCCGAGAACATGTTATTATCTCAACTTTCTCTTTTTTCATATAAGAAAGTAAATCACTGACGAACGAATGTGTGTTCATACGAGTTGTTCTAGCATGAGGCCCAACAAGTGTACCGATAATACATGTTGACACAGTTTTCCTTTGAGTATATTTGTGTGTATATATATATATATATATATATATATTAGGGGTGGGAATCACCAGAGATCCTGCTATACGATATGATCACGATACTTAGGTCACGATACGATATTATCACGATACTGCGATATTCTGAGTATTGCGATAACATAGTCCTTTATTGCGATTTATTACTTTTTTCAACTTCAAATGATGTCCCCAAAGGAAAACTGTGTCAACATGTTTTATCTAATGAGATAAAGTTTTCAGTCTGTTCATCTCACTTCAATCATTTTTATTGCAGTAAAATAGGATTGTCAAGCAGACAGACTGACCAACAATGTCATAAATGTTGCATGAACCTGACAAACTGAACTGTTTGTATTACTACACAGTCCAACTTAACTAAATGCAAACGTGTGGACTCAGTATATGAACTATAACTTATATAAGTAGGATATTAGAGTTATATAACTCAGTATAACTTGTGATGCGTGGAAGTCGAGGGCAGAGAGACAGTTATGCGCTGCACTCTCCCCATGAGTCTGGCTACTGTTGGCAGATTTAACCCCGTTGTGAGGCCAGATGTCTCTATCTTTGTTTTGACCAACTTCCTACCAGTCATGCTGACCCGGGACCTTTGCTGACCTCACCAGAAAACAACTCAGCACCATCTAGTGGACTGAAAAAGCAATTGATTTGATTTTTCAAAAAAAACAAAAACATTTTTTTAAATTGTTTTTAAACAGTTTATATAATAAAAGATCGATACTTGGCATCCGTGTATCGATACAATATCGCCACGCAAAATATCGCGATACTATGCTGTATCGATTTTTCCCCCACGCCTAATATATATATATATATATATATATAAGTGCTGGGCAAGTTAACACGTTAATTTAACGCATTTTTAAAATTTATTATAATTTTTTTTTTTTTTATTGAAAGACAAGAGACAATACATATACATAACAACAAGAGGATGACAAGGACAGTGGGATAAAAGCCAGCAAACATCCTATAGTCAGTCATGTTAGTGCACCTATATGCTGAAATTCACGGTAAACGCATTCAAACGGCACAGATCGGGAGCGAAGGACTTTGAAAGTTAGCGGAAAGATTAACGTGATACAACATCCGGTTTCTTCAGACGAACATCCGGTTTTCAGAATAAGATGCCAACAAAGTATGAATTATATTCACATTAAGTATAAAACATGCTACCTGCATCTCGTGAACCAAATGTTATTGCCCTTTTGTTCATATAGCAGTACTTTTAAAATAAAAGTGCGCAATACACTACTTTTGAATTCATTATTGAACTTTGCCATAACAATGCGATTAATCGCGATTAA